AGAGTGTTCCCTTGGAAACCATCTGATGGGGTAAAATGTACTGTAAAAAGACATGATTCAGAGAAAAATATGAGGGAAAACATAAAAATAAAATCAATCACAAGCAATAAATTTGTGCATCAGAACCTCAGATGTTATAAGGGAAAAAAGTGAGATTGTTCCTGTGTGGCTGTACTTATGTGGCTTTATATTAAAGTACTAGGGATAATAGGGGATAACACAGGGGGTAATAAGTGTTTGCAAATGAAATTGTCTGTTTATCTACAGTTTGCGGTGTTTTAAATGCGCTAAAAGATTTAGAATCATCTTAACCTTTTTCGTGGTCTATCTGTTTTGCTAGTGTTACCCTTTTTTCTCTTTTCTGTCATCATTATTTCAGTTACTGACCCTCAATCACAGATGGAAAAATAAAAAACAAGGATAAATCACTGGGCAAGTGTGAAGATGAAGGTGCTCTGCTTGTCTTTCTGCTCTTCGCTGTGGTAAACTCTTGCAATACAACTCTTACAATAACGATTTAGAAAGACTCACCCATCGGAGCTGATGCACTCAAAAATACCCCTCATCAGAGACAATTTGGATGACAAAGGAGAAACTGAGAATTTTTGAGGATGATTTTGGAGTCCCTAACCAACCTTAATGAGAAGTGTGAGTTTGAAAACGGGTTTGTGTTTGTACAACAAGCATGCCCCTATATCTCCAGTTGGTACCCCAGCCTTAGTCAATGCCACAAGTCTTGCAGAGCTTGAAACTGAGAATCAACCCAGACAGTGTGATGCAATAAAAAAAAAAAGTTGTGACTAAAGATAAGAGAGAAAGAGCTGAACTCGAAGAGCCTGGATAAGAACTCACTGCTGGTGAGTGAAAGGCATGAATTCATCTTAGCAACAGTAGCAGAGTTATGCATTGCACGTAGCGGCAATGCTGATACAAAGCCATGAATATTTCACAGTATCTGTTTCGGAGTCTTCAGTGTTCCTATTTCTGTGGATGGACAGCTGCAGAGCAGTCAAAGCAGTCAGAGCAGTGGGTGGTAGTAGCTTTAAAGCTTCAGCAGAGTGTGACTAGAATGTTATTAGGCAAACTGAAGGAAATTGAAGTGATTAGAAGTGATAAATGCAGCAGTAATTTTGTTCTGCCTACTGATGCTGTCTGCTGTGTACTTTTACATTATGCATTGTTGGCTGTCAATTTCACGTAATGATGTGTAAATGCAATGTAGCTGTGAAAACGTCCAGAGGAACAAAAGCATCAAACTAAATATATCCACTCACAACAGCACTGGACACACTAATGCATTTCACTTCAGTGTTTACACTGTATTTCTTTAACCCTCTCAAGGCAGGCGTTGCCGATTTGCAACAGTTAAAAACTAACAACCTGATTACCCCACATACATATTGTATGAGGTTTTTTTTACTCAGAAGTACCACTGCAGGACTTGGTTGTGCATTAGCAACAAAAAGTTTAATTTGAGCCTGAGAGGGTTAAATAGATTTTATTTTTAATCATGGATTAGAATATTTTAGCTTTACTAGTTTATTTTATGTTTAAAATGCTGAACCTTAAACCATACAGCACTCCTACCTACAGCATCTTCTGTCATGAGTCACATACCTAGTGAACGGGGTCATTTACATGTCTCAGAGGACTGCAGGCGTTTTAGGGGAGATCAAGTGTAACGTTCAAAGCAAGACCTTTTACCTTTAAACACTATCTTTAACTACAGGTTAATTGTAGTCATTACTGAATAGCTCATCATTAAACCAATCAATATACAAATCTGACCTCAGGATACCAATCTGATTGGTCTCTGAATACCAGCCATTATTCTATTAATATTATATTAATAGGCTATAGTTTTGGTAAAAATCCAACCACATCAGTAAAACTGTCACTGCAATTATAGCGAGGACTGCTATAATTGCTCTGGCTTTCTCCCACAGTCCGAAGACCTACATTTAGTGGGGTTAGGTTAACTGGTGATTCTAAATTGCCCTTATGTTGAATGTGAAGGTGAATAGTTGTCTGTCTCTCTGTGTTATTAATCCTGGCAACCTATAATGGTGTTCCCTGCATCTCACTCTAATGGCAGCTGGTACAGGCTCCATACACTCCTCAGTCAGTCAGTTAGTCAGACAGACAGACAGACAGACAGACAGACAGTGGTACAATGAGTGTTCACACTATCAAACTAACTGACAGGTCCTTAAACGATTGCACTGCAATCAACCACTGGACACACTTCCTTTGATCAAAGCCCTTCAAATGTTCCATGTGAAAACACCACAGCATAATATCTTCCATTGTTGCTGAAGGAGAACAAAGCAAGCTTTGAGAAACTGTCTGAAATATGCATTATTGATCCACAGATGAATACAAGACGAAAAGAAAAGAACGGTGGACATTAAGCTTTGATGTGTCTTTTTCACTGAACACGGCTTTTAAAAACCTTGGTACTGATTTATGTTATGGTTTAAGGTTCATCACAAATGACGACCCGATTGCAAACACAATAGAGGCAGACAAGCAGCTATAGCAAAAACAAAGGTGAGTTTTAATAGAAAGCTGTTTAAAACGCTCGAGTTACCATGAAAACATTAAACTCTGCGGTTATGAAGAGTAAAGTCTAAAAAAATAACACAGTGGTGAAGAACTCGGGCAGCCAAACAGGCAGATGAAGGACTGAGGAAAGAGGTTAAAAAAAAAATTAGACTGAAACAGACAATCAGAGGGGTGGGAGAAATAATTGAAACAACACAACCAAAAACAGACATCAAGATTTTGTTTCTTTTTTGTAGTTTTTCAGTTCAGAGCATTTCCCTCATTCAGTGTAAAACAAATCTATAAAAATGCAAATGACTCCTTAACACCTCCACCATTTGCCTGCAGACTCAGGGCCCACCCTCTGTAACTGGAGGCATCAGTCACTCTGTAGGATCTCTTGATATGTGCTGGGGGAAAACAATGGCACGTTAATACTTGGGAAGTGTGTCTTTGTTAATCAGGACACTAAAACCCAGTGTACAGTCTGTAAATGAGCAAACTATGCACTCAGTTTTGAACCAAACAAAACTGAATGTTTCTTCTTTACTTACCTGTTTTGCACCTGTTTTGTCCCTATTACATTAAATCATTAGTAAATGAATTAAACTCTGGTCCTCTCCCATGTGTGTCTTGTCTTATCTGCTCTGCTCCCTTAAGTTTCCCCTCACTGTCTCTCATGGCAGATGGCTGCCCCTCCCTGAGCCTGGTTCTGCAAGATGTTTCTTCCCATTAAAAGGGATTTTTTTCCCTTCCCACTGTCGCCAAGTACATGCTCATAGTGTGTCCTCTGATTGTTGGGGTTTCTCTCTAATATTATAGGGTCTTAACCCTACAATATAAAGTGGTTTGAGGTGACTGTTGTTGTTATTTAGTGCTATATAAATAGAAGTGAATTTAACTTTGAAATGAATTGAAAGTGCTGGGTTGTTGGAAATGAGAAAATACTTCAAACCCTGGGCCTGCACTGGCATAAAATTTTCAACAGAGTAAAGCAGACTGAGAACACTAATGGCACGGTTGTAAAGGTTTTAATATATATGCATTTGTGATCATTCTGGTGATTGTAATTTTCGTAATGTGAACAATTCATTTTGGTGTACCACGAGGGCACGAAAGCTTACATAAACTGGTTGAAGTGCATCTGCTTAAGAGGTACTTCATAAATTAAAGTAATGTGGGACTAATGAAGAAGGTTGCCTGATTTATTTAAAGATGAAAAGAAGGATTTACATGAGGTTGCGTTTCGGGGGTTTTAATAAACATTTTTTAACTCACTAAGTAACATCCTAACATTTTGAAATTTTCTTTGGTACAATTAGGTTCTGAATCATTAATCACGGTGGCTCTGTTCACAGTCTTTCAGCAGTTCAACAACCCTTAATTAAACTAAAATGGATGCAAGTCGGATCGTGTATCCCATCAGTAGTCCCGGTGGGTGGGAGATTAATAAACTTGGCTAACATTTTTCATAAAACTTATCTTGGACTTTATCAATAATGGGTCAAAACAGATGAGAGCCATTTCTGAGTACTAAGACATGATGTTGAAGTACAGCAAAGATACTGGCTGATCAAATTACACTGGTGCATACACACACACACACACACACACACACACACACATATATATATATATATATAGATATATAGATATATATATAGATATAGATAGATAGATATAGATATATAGATATAGATATAGATGCAGCATATTTTATCTGTTCTGCCTGTTTTAAACTTTGAAATTGGCATCACAGTTTGAATTGGACTATTTCCAATGAACGCCTTTAATGATTTTCTTTTGAGAAGAATAAATCAATTCAATTCTTGAATAACTTTTAAAACACTGTACTGCAATGTGGGCATGCCAAAGTACATAATTGTGAAGCATATTGAAAATTGGCACTTTGGTATAATTACTGAGCGAAAAGACAAGAACAAATCAGGGAACTGAATAAAATTAATATCTAGCCAGCATAATTAAATTCTACATTGTAATAATAGCTTATTTTAGTTCCTCATGTTTGTGAGCCCACACACTGACCCCTAATGAATCATTCCAGATGAGCATTAACATGTAATTACCTTTTGTCTCATTAGACAAATTTTGTCCTATTCCAAAATGTTATGATGGATCATTATAGTATTACCAGGCTATTTAGCTGCGTTGGGCTTACATTGTAAATCTACTTCGTGCTTTATTCAATTCATAACACCGTAAATTATTATTCTCCTCCAAACCATCAATTATACTTTATATAATGACTCTGGTTTGTCACGTTTAGGCTAAGGGAAATGTGCACCCGTTTTGCAGTATCTATCTAAATACACAAGTACTGTCTTCAGTACATTTAGTCAACCTACTGCAAATGCCTTGGCATGGGTTCGAGGACACGAGCATCTTGCAGCGTAGTCTCTTTATCTCCGGGAGTAAGTGAGACACTAGTACAGAGACTGTTGGGTAAGGGTGATGCGCACTGAGAAGCTCCCCAAAAGGCTGTTGCTTCGCTTACTGGACTCACACGAGGATGGATAGAGTTTTTGCGTAACGGTAACGCGGTGAATTTTTGTACTCTTTTTCCAAATTTTGGTCGCTTTGTAATTACGTTATTAACGGAAATAACGTTCAAGGAGTTGTTCGGGGGATTCCCCAAATGTCCAGCCTTTGAATTTATTTTCAACAACAGTAGAAAGATCTAACATTCCTGGAGATTGCCTGTTTGCAAACGTTTTGGATACTATAGCGTCTCACTCATATGGCGTTCTGACTGGATTGATTTGATTTGTCTTCTACTGTTATATCACGAAAAAAAAAATTAGGTTGAAATGTCCGACTTCCACAACCGGAGCCAAACAAGCGCACGTCGCAGTGACTACGTGTGGCAGTATGAATATTATGACGACGAAGAGCCCGTGTCGTTCGAGGGACTCAAAGCGCACAGATGTAAGCCAAACACATTACTAAGACGTTTCCCATTGTTTCTGATCTCCTTCTAAATTGTGCAGTGTTTATGTCTATGGCTGTGTTATGTGTAGCCTATGTGTATGCCTTCCAGCGCACTTTTAATTAAATGATTCATCACCCTTTGGTCCCCCTTACTCCTTGCATTATTGCTTTAGCTGAACGCTGTCGGTTTCTCAGCAACATTGCGTAGCAGATTTAGTTCGTGCAGCACCTGTAGTGCCGTTTTATACTCCAGTGGAAGCCTAATAGTCAAGCCAATTAATGAGACCAAATTGTAATGCCAAACAATTCGGTTACTTTAATCAAATGTTAGACGAACGAAATTTCACTCTTTACAACACAATTAAGAATTCTGTCCTCAGAGTGAGGCTTCCAGTTGAGAATAAAAGTCACACACAGAAAATGAGAAGAGCAGAGATTAATGTAGTCATTAATTGTACTAATAAGATTCTTCCTTCTCTGACCTTTCAGACTCCATCGTCATCGGCTTTTGGGTTGGACTTGCTGTGTTCGTGATTTTCATGTTCTTTGTTCTCACTCTGCTCACAAAGACAGGAGCGCCACATCAAGAGTGGGTATAATAGCAGGCTGGAGCCCATGTTTATTTCCACTTTCACATTTCCCCCTACAAGGACATTTAAAGCACCGTGGAGAGCTCAAGGAAATAAGCACTTAGCACTTCTCATCTAGGTGGCTGTTTAAGAGTGAGCTGATGAGTTTCAGGGATGCTGTTCTGACAGTAGACTGTGCAAAAGTCTTGAGCTACCCCCACATTATTTATTAGTTTTCTAGAAAAACTGGAAATAGTGTAAACATTTTTGAAACATGTGCGAAATAAATACAGTTTGTAATGCAGAAACAGTGTCTGTACAATTCTAATGAGCTTGAAAGTCATTTTGTTGGTATGTCCACCTTAATTCTTCACCACAGCCTGAACTCTCTTAAGCAAGCTTTGTGGTCATTTATTTAAGCAGTCTGCAGGAATAGCTCTCTGGGCTCCTTGAAGGGCATCCCAAAGCCTTTCTTTGGATGCTGGGTGCCTTTTGCACCATTCTTTCTCAAGACGATCCTACACTGTTTTAATAACATTGAAGTCCAGCAGTCCATAAGACTTGTTGCCATTTATTTTCAGCCCAGTTCATGTGTAATTTGGAATACTTTAGCATTTCCTCCTTGTTTCCCAATGAAAGGGTGGCTTCTCGACAGCCACCCTTCCACAGAGACCATGTCAAATGAGGCTTCAATTAATAGTAAATGGATCAGGTTAGATGTATCACTCGGCCCCTGTCTCAGTTCTTTGCCAGATTTCTTTCCTATTTTTTAAGACTATGACCATCAGATAGTGTTCATCTGCTGTAAATTGTTTTTTAGGCTTCCCACTTCTTCTTTTGTCCTCCACTTGTCCAGTTTCTTCTCCATGTTTTAGGGTCACACTGCAAACCATGCTAAGACATGCCTAGTTTTCTGCTAACAGCTCATTTGGATTTACCTTATTGGTGAAAAAGCCTTTATCTTTGGCATTTTTGAAAATGTAACTAAAGAAATGGGAACACATGTTGTGTGTTTGTGACAGGCTGCTAATAACAATTTGCCTAAAGGTACAATTTAAAATAGATTCTTTGCTAAACTGTATGTCAACACTGGCACATGTCTTGATTTAGGTCCTTCTAATGCTTCAATGAATCATAGGTCAGTTTTAAGTAGCTGAACAAAAAAACAGAAATCCTCAGGTACAAGGACCGGCCTGAAAATGACTGGAAAAACAGCTAATATCCAAAGAAATTAAAAAGTGCTCTTGAGCTATAGTGCTCCAGGCTTTCTGAATCAAAGACCTTCAGAAAGCCCAGAGAGCTATAGCTCAAGAGCACTTTAGAAAAATTACAAGAAGGTCTGTCTCTTTCAAAGCAAAATATAAAGAAATGAGAGATGGCTGGGCATTTTGCACATTACTGTATGTTGTAAGACATTGTAATATAATTATGTCATGTTTAATACATATATAAATGAGTGACAAATAAAAAAAGGCCAACATAAATTAACTTAAAGCGATTGGTCACCATCAATTCATCGCTCATTGACACAACGGATCATCCATCTGTGATGGTGGTGGAGTGTTTTGTTATACACTTTGTTCCAAAATCTCCAAAACGTGTTTAACTACTTTACAATGTGATGACTGGAAAAACCGTAGCATATTATTCACATCACTTTCATACTCATCCGTCACCTCTTGTGTCGTTTGGATGGGAACAGTTAGCCTTAAGAAAAATACAGAATGAATACAAACCATTGTGTGAATAAGTCTAGGGTTCATGTTTTGCCTGTAATTTTTCAACTGCCTCTTTACTGATTTTATATTGTGCTTTTTACAAAAGATATTTGAACTGGCGCTGAGCTTCGTATTGTCAAAGGCACATTTTCCATTTCAAAATAATAACCAGAACTGGAAATTGGTGAGAAGTCACTTATATAATGTCAGACTGAATACAGCTCTGTGGTTAAACCAAGGCGGAGTAAGTAGTTACCCCTGCTCAACCCTGTTCCTTTTTCAGCTTGGGTGATTTTAAGAATCCATTTCCAGACACAGAAGCAAAAAAGCAATGGAGAACAAAAAAATCCTTTATTTTTTCTATTGAACTAATGTTACATTCAGGACAAAAATGACCAAAAAAAGCGCCTCATATTGTTAAAGCCTTCTCCTGCTGTAATCTCACTCTCATCTTTCTTTGTTTCTTAACAGTAACCCAGACTCGGCTGAAAAGCGTCATCGACCGGGAAGCTGTCTGGTAGACATTGATGGTCACCAGGATGAAAACGACAAAGCCTTCTCACGTCCGTTGCTAGCAGGATCCCGTTCATATTTTAATTTCTACATCAATGAGGAAGACAAGGGTCACGGGAAGCAAAAAGTAGAAGAAAAGAGAGCTGGAAAGCACACCGGGGCCCGAGCCGAGCAGGGAACCTTCAACAGAGGTGTCAGCTCCTCTGGGATGGACGAGATGGAAGAAGACATTGAGGAGGCTGGGGTCCACCAACAGCTTACTGGACTAATAGAACAGAGCAAGACAGACAGAGAGTGCACCTTTCTTTCTCACTTCAACATCCCTAACTTTGTCAACTTGGATCACAGTTCAACTCTTGGAGAGGATGATCTGCTATATGAGCCCTCAGTCATACTAGAGCGTCAGTCTAAATGTCACGATGCTCACTTTGACATCCACTAAGGCTCGTCCTGCAGATAAGCATGGTTATAGTGATACCGTAACACCATTTGCTTTTTCAGAGGGTCATTTATGAACTGACAATGAGAAATATACTCATCACTAAGCTTCTGTGTATGAAGTTTTGTTGTGTTTGTTTTACAGCCAACAACCAAGAGGGCACAAAACCTAGCTGACAGATCAATATTCAGTGCAACTCAAAGTTATAAGATGATAATTCTTCCTGAAGTTGAAATTGCCTCAGGCGAGATACCTGTTATTTTGAGTATAGGCTCTGGAAATGGACGCAGCTGTGCTGTACCTGGATGAGATGACATTTTCACACAGGAACAGATAAAAATGGAAGAGTGCCAGGTTCACAAGGGAGATTTTTTTTTTGTAGTTCTGTAGAATTCATCATGTTGTTATTGCTGTGTCGTTTTCCTTGTAGAATTTTGAACGCTGGGCATTATCTTTTAAAAACGAAATAAATGCCAGCTGGTCTACCAACAAATTTAAAAACTGTGAATTAATCAAGTTTTGTCCTAAGATTAAGTGTTTAGAAAAGGTGAAGTGTAATTCTGTGTAGCAAAAGGTATAATTAGTAGTACAAAATCAAATATATCAGAATAGGGACTCGCAGGAGAAAATACACTGCGCTTTTGTAGTCGGAAAATCTATTAAACTTACTGAAGGTGAATGTTAACTGTTCTAATAAAACTTAAATGTTTTTGAAATTAACTCGCGTTTGGAGTGGTGCAGTATTTTTCTGAATGTTGTGTTTGGACTGACTCTCGCCTTCATATCTTTCAGGGACTCAAATGTCTACAAGTACAAGAGATGTGACTGCTTTCACCTGCGGTGACAAAGCAAAAGAGGATTATGGCTCTGCGGTTCATCGCATTAACATTTACGTAACGAATACAGAGGATAACTACAGAGCAGTTGGCAGAAACCAGAATCGCCCTAAAAAGTAAAGTTTGATCCGGATCACAGCTGTGAAAAGAAAATCTATACCGTCATTATCCTTGTGTTTGGGGACATTTTAACAGAAGAGCTCATGCATAAAAGCCTAAATGCTGCACCCCTCCTTGTCTTTATTCATGTAGAAATATCTCCCCCAGCTAAATCAAATTAAAATTGTTTTGAACAATATCAGGTGATAATTATGCAAAGGAACATTGCTAGTTATCATTATTACTTAACGGGGACTGCATGAGTTACATACATTTGTCTGATGGAAGGATGTGCTGAGAATGCTCGAGAGTTCATCAGCATTAATGCGACACTGACTTCACTGAAGCAGCCTCTTAGGTTTTGACAAACAGCCCATTAATTCTTACCAGTGAAAATTAATGTAAAAATAAAGACCTCTGACCTCGACTGACATTTCTCATATTTCTTGAAAGGCAGGCGGTCGAGACCAGGCTCACAAAATGTGGTTTGTTTGCCCGGAGCTTGTTGCAAGTAAGGCTTGTAACATTTATCCGATATTATTTTTCTCTGGGCTAAAATCACCAGAGGGAACACTATATTATTTATTTAATTTAAGTGCATTATCACTCTATTTCATAAGAAATCATTAATTATTTTTCCAAATAATAAAACATCAGGGTAGCTTTTATGGGCAATGAATAGTGTTAGTAAGTTAGAAACGTCACGTGGCTTCAAGCAAGCTTTGACAGATTTTTTTTCATATTCCTCTTTTTTTAAAATTACTAAGTGCAAAATATCACATGTACCAAAAATATTCCTGCATCTTTTCCCCTTTCATTGCACTGACAGCAGTGCATGCCAGGTTTGTTAAGCATTAAAATCAGTAAGCCAAAGTGCTGTTCTGTAGATATTAAGAACTCTTTTAGGGAGTTTGTAGCTCAATCAGGAGGCAGTAAACTCTGTAATTAGGAGCAGCTGAGGTCAGACAGTCAAGAACTGTGTAGGTAGAAAGCATGTTCATATTGGTTATGTAATGCAAACTTCAAACTAAGTTAACCTTAACAGGACCTTTTCCTTGCTTTTCCTTAATTTATTTCATCCCTATACAATGGTGGACATTCTTATCCAGCAGAGTTGCACGTATTCTCTGTGAACCAGAAGCTCAGGCTTCACACTGGTTTTGCAACACCCTTTTTTATTCCTAGTGGCTTTTCCTACTCATGGATCCTCATCACAGAAAGCAAATATCCCTGACACTGCGATCTCAGGCACACAGCTCCGTTGGAGTGCAGGGACAGCAAATCAGAAGAAACTTGGCTCCAAGGACGTGGGAACGAGGGGGTTAATATTTCAGAGAGTGAAGAATGAACTCAATATATGCTTTATAAAAACACTATATTGTATTGTGAAAACATCTGTGGCACTTCAGAAATTATATATTCATTGTTTTCATCTCAGTAAACATTTTTGAATGGCAAGACTTCAAGCTTAAAATCACATGGATATCATTGCTGATACGAGAGAATGGCTTGGCAGTAACAGACAGAGCAGCAGTGAATCAGCGTGTTTTTTATCTTATAACTGAGGGGGTGTTCAGTCAGCTGAGCATCCACTAGGCACTCTCAAACACAAGAAGGCCAGCAAACTATCTGCCAGCAAAATCAATCAGATAGAAAAGCAATATGTTCATTTTAACTAATTGCATATATACTTAAAGAGTATGCATGTGAAACCCCTCTAGCTAATTAGTAATTTCATATGATCTGCTACAACCTAAATTATCAAACTTATGTGACTTTAGAATGATGCGTGCAGGATCCACAAGCCTCAGCAGTTAGCCTAGGGCGTGTGTGCAAACTGTATAGACTGTATATCTTTCCTGCAGTCTCTGGGGCTCACCCTGCATGGGTGCAGCTCGCATCAACAACCAGTGGATGGAGCAATGGAGTTACATCAAGTCTGAAATCTGTTATTTTTCCTAAGTACCCCCAAGGCGGTCTCTGTAGGCATGCTGGTTGAAAGTTGGCGGTTTGCAATGTCTGCCCAGCAATGAGTAGCAACGGAGGAATGGCAGGGAGGGACAGGCATGGCTGAAGAAAAGCAAACATTGCTGTGTTTTATTGACACAGAAATTTCTCTGGATTTGGTGGGTGTTGAAAAGAAGTGCCAGTCAAATGCTAATTATACATTTGCGTACGCAAAAACAAGACGTGCAACATATCTCGTGTTTCAATGAGCCAATGAGTAAGGGCAAAGTTTTACAGTCTCTCTTTCACTCTCTGCAATGCAAGGAATGATTGAGCAGCATTTAGAAAATTCTGGTTAAACCCCATAATTACTATTCCCAAGAAGACCCATCAGAATTAATCGTGTTTCTTTAGCCTACTGTGTGCTTTTAAATAAGCCTCTTATTGTTTGCCAAACATACATTAAAGTTGAGGTGTGTGTCATCTTGACCCCTGAAGTCACTCTAAACAGTTATTCTACATTTAGAGGCCACAAAAAGAAACCAACAAATTGATACATGAGACATGGGAATGAGTGTAAGAACTGAGTCTTCCATGGTTACATTGAATCTAATACTGTCTTTTTCCTAAACGAAGACTGTCAGCTTGGCTCCAGAAGCTTGACAATTCAAATTCTTTTCCAAAGGAAATGTGGGTGGATACAAAGAATGAGTAACTCTTTCTTTTCCCTCGACAAAGCAGCTTTATGCACGTGCCTGCAGTGGAGCTGCTCACTCCAACAAAAGGAGGCTGTTTGTAGCAAGCGGCTGCTAGGTAAACATGTCTGCAACTGTATGACACAAAGGGCAGGACTGAAACAATTCCTGGCGCACACTGTAAATCTGCTCATTGCTGTTCCTCTGTCTGAAAATGCATAGAATGTCTTGTTAGACCACATAACACTTCTAGCCAAATTGCCAAGTAAAACAGAATGTGTGACTCACCAGGAAAATTCAATCATCCTACCAAGCATTTGTATTGTCACTTTATAACAAGCTCTTAAACTAATCCTCGCAATATGGGTCAATTAGAGGAGTCAGCACTACTAAAGAGACATGGAACGGTGGTTTTCTTTTTCTCTTTTTTATGTCATGGCTTCTAAAAGGTTTTCTATTTTTTCCATGTGTTATTTGTTTAATCAGCTCCAGACTGGAAAAACTGGACCTGCACTCCCTTTAGCGTGAATTTTGCTGAGTGGACTTTTTTTCATATTTTGATGCTGAATTGCATAGACAAATGTAGTTTAGTTACCCATCTTCATCCCAATCCTAGTTTGATAAGAAGAGATCACTTGTAAGAATTTGAACACGATTTATTGAGACAGAGAAATTGATGTATTTGTTGATTAGACCCACCATGGCAGAAAGAAATCCCAGCGGTGATGGGAATTAGGATAGGACCCCCTGGAGTCTAGATACTGGTGTTGGTAAAGGTGAAGACTAAGGCTCGAGTGAAGGTCTGACTAAGGTGTCCGTGAGGTGGAGATGGGGAGGAGGTGGTTTGCACATATGAGAGAGAATGATAGATAGCACAGATTTAAACTACACAAAGTGGAGGATGATTGGCCCAAAGGAGGTGAGCAAGAAAATGATTGGATGAGAATAATAATGACAGTATTGAGATCGACAGGGTGGGAAAGCAGTAGTGATGTAGAGAACAGAAAGGCAGACTAGCACCCGGGAAAGCAGGCAGATGAGTGATTCCTCATTGAATTTATGCTTAAGCTTCATATAAAGTACAATTTATATTTAAAGATTCAAAGAGTATACACATATTTCAAATAATCTTAGAATTTTGCACAAATGATAATCAGAAAATACTGATTTAAACATTTTTTAGAACATATAGAATGTTAAAACTTATGCTAATGTTTAATTAGATACAAGTTCAAACTTGCAAAAACATTGGAACAGGGGCAGCAACTGACTGGAAAGGATCCATAATTTTAAAAACACACATACACACACAAACACACACACACACACACACACACAGAGAGAAACTGCAAATTTCTTCATCTACTGTAATTTCAAAATATTTAATAGGCCACAGAATTCCTGGGACTCTGCCAAAAACCTTATTTGGATGGTCATCTGCCAGTCCTCAAGCAGCACTCCCAGCACTGTTAATCACTGCATGGATTCAGGATCACTGCATTCAGAAATGTGACTTTAAACATTTAAAATGGAAAGAACAAAACAAACATAAACAAGATTCAGATATGCTGCCACATTTATTGGTTCCAAGCTTATTTGAGGGGGACTGAGGCAAAGTGGGAAACAGGTTTCTAGTCTAACAAATCAAAATTTTAAATTCTCTGTAGAACAGATGGATGTCTTCTAGGCTAAAAAGGAGAGAGACTATCCAGCTTGTTATCAGAGGAGTGAGTACAAAAAAACAGCATCTGTAGAGAGTACGGGGGTTCATTAGTACACTGCACACTGTTCACTGACTTGCACATCTGTGAAGGAGTAGCATAAAGCTGCCAGCCACACAGCATTTTCTCAGGGTAGGCCTTCATTATTTGTGCAAGGCAATGCCAAACCACATTCTGCATGTATTACAACATGCAGAATGTCGCTCCATAGTAAGAGGGTTCAGAGACTACGGTGATGTGCCCAGACCTGCTACACATCGAGAGCTTTTTTGTATATTAACAAACTGGAATTTGCAAATTCCAAAACTGTTAAGCAGGTTTCAGCTAAGCATGTGAAAGACCACAGTTTGTCTCACTGCATTCTATTACAT